ACCAGATCTCTTGACAAGACTATGGAACAGTGTGCAGCATCACAGCAACGAGCTGTTCAGTTCAGCAAATAGACAAGAGATTGCTATATAATTTAAGAGCTATTCATTATTCATTAAATTTGGCCCAAGGCCCATAGGCTGGGAAGCAGGAGCTGTATCCACTTCCTAAACTAGATACCCCTGGAAACTCTACAAACTCTCTAAACTCTACAAACTCTCTAAACTCTATAAATGTACAGAAATGATGTTAGTTTCTAGAAGAGATCAGGTCTTTTGTGCAAAGCTAACTCTTAGTTGATTTGACTTAATGACACTTCACCACTGCTAAATGAGACTAGTGCTGTTATACCTGGAGAAACACTCTTCCACTTTGCACATTACTCTTTGTCAATGTGCTCTGTGAAGTAACCAGGGTTTGCTGTGATGCTGAACCTTGTGCCAGTGGGGTAACAAATCCCAGAATGGCTTCTCAATATGGACAATGTTTGGTGGAGCTCCCATTGTGAAACAGGTTTGGAAGCAGGAGTGGCACCCACTTCCTAAACCACGTGCCTCTGGAAACTGTGAACTTGAAGAAATGACGATAGTTATGGAAAGGCAGTAGGTCTTTTGTTCATAGAGACATTATGAGTCATGCTCGACTCGACGGCAATCAACAACAACAGCACTGCTAACCTCAAAGTAGAGCTTCTGTGGGGATGTAAATCCATCAGTGAGTGGCTCTGTGGGAGAAAGATGGGCAGTCTCCTCCCATGTGGTTTGCAGCTTCCCATAAGCCCACGGGAGAGGCAGCTGAGATTTGGTAGTGAGTCAGTGGCGAAGAGATTGAGGAGATTTTTGTTTTGTTTTGTTTGTTTTTTGGTGTTTTTGTGGTGGTTTTGGTTTTTTGGGTTTGTTTTTCTTTTTTTTTTTTAATTTAACCACACACCCAATTGTTTATGGACTATACTGATAATTTTATTTTTTTTTAATTTTATTCTTTTTTTATGTGTGTACCATCAAATCAAATCTGACTGGTACAGGAGGAGATTGCCCCTCCTTCTTCAGCAGAGCACCTGGTAGATTCAAACCACACACCTTTGGGATTGCAGTGCAGTTTCTTGCCACTAGGCCACCAGAGCTCCCTTATACTGATAATTTTAAAATGACTATTTGCTGTTGCATGCCGCTGAGTCAGAACCGACTCACACCTAACCCTCCAGCAGATGTTGACACTGAATCACATGGGAAGATAGAACTCAGCTTTCCCCCATGTAGCAGCTGGTAGATTTGAACTCTGACTGCTTTTGTTTTTGTAAACTATCGAGTCCACACTGATCTATCACACAGGAGGAGATTGTCCATCCTTCTTCCACAGAG